GCACTTTCCAAATTAGGAACAGTAGAACCAACCCTACTAAAAACCTCATTTGGGTGCCATAATTACGTACTACCGACTTAAAATACCATAGGACCTAGTAAAATCCATCTTGAGATGTGGTTGATTAATGTAGGTTTGCATTAATTACAGGAGTCATGCAGACACGAAACAGCTACTGCTTTGAGTACCTAGTGACGAAGGCAAAAATGCCCCGCCAACGCACCTGCTGTCCCTTTATGCAACGCACGCTGTACCGAGTGGCGCGAAACCTGGCGCGCCTTGATCTGGGCTTCTCTTGCCCCGACCTGGAGGGTACCACCAGTCCGACCTCCACGGCCACGCCCACACCCACGTCCACCCTGAAGCGCAAGAAACGCCACCATGGTGGTGAGCGTGGAGTTGAGGAGATCAGGCCCGGTTCCGGCAGTGTCCTTGGCTGGCTGGTTCGTGGCACACTGAGCCGCCGAGACCCCTCGATGGGACCCTCTGACACCCTCTCGTCTCTGCCACCTGTGGATGGCAATGATGTTGATAACGACACGCTAAACGAACAGGGAGGTCTAGAAACTTCGGAAGTGGAGGTATTCGCTACTCATCAGACTGAATTCATTATACACTAGCCAGTTGAGATTAGCTAGAGAAATCGTGAATAGTTCGCTGTGAACTTTTGAATGGCTTAAAGTCATAAAGCTTGATTAAAACGGTGATAAAAAACCTTCAGTTTTTAATCTAAGCAATAAACTTCACTTTGGCCATGTATTGCCTCAATACAGTGAGGAATCGCGGCTAAGGTGTGATAAAGTACTTGTCATGACTACACAGCTTAGATGTTTTTCTTACGAGGAGAAATTCTTTAATGAAAAATTTTACTTCCTTCTGTCCGGTGAAATCCCCACTTTTAGATTATTTCGTCTTGTTGTCATGCAATCGCAAGTTGTGTTTCAAAATCGACGACCAGAGCGGCAGAAGCACTAGCGAAATCTTGGTACATAATTCATCACCATGGTAAACAACCATTAAAAGATATTACTATACCCATTCATAAAATATCCATTAATTCAATGGAAGTGATTGTCTGACTCCATCACGCTCACCCCCAAAGTCCTTTCAATGTGAGCCAGAGGACTAAGCCTGTTAGTGAAGAGGGTTTAAGTAGGAAGGGATAGCCTTAATCAGGTAAAACACTATCTCACAGTAACTGTTGAATTCTCAAAAGGTACCAACTGCCAAATCTGAGGAACTGGCACACATGGGTTTGACACTTGATTTCCTTCGTTCCTGCCTTTACTTTTGGACTCAAGGTGGGAGCATTGAATTTAGGAACCTTTACAAAGTCAGCTAGAACTACCATTTTCCCACTGATTAATGCCACATCATCACACCGACCTGGCGGTACTTAAAGGACCGACTCCTAGTAGTAGTTTATTTTCAAAGACAAAACGTCAGGTTAGAACACATACAAATAACAGTTAACCTCCAAGGTAATAAAAGCTCATTTTCGAGATAATAAAAACTATTTTTGTGAGCTGGTTGAGTTAAGACACTTTTTATGAAGAGGTCTGAGAAATTTTTATGGTATTTAAAGGAGGAAACAATGCCTGGAGAAGTTACTGATCACCTCCTCCTGAAGCAGAAAAGGAAGCTGCTTCGACGACAAAGGATCTACGACATGGACGCCTCAATGGATGTGGTCACCTCTGGGTAGTTGCGCCCGCCTATTTCTTTGAAAACGCCGTGGTAGTTAGTGCCCTAGTGAATTTGTCTGCAGTACATAAAACGCAGGCAGATGACAATTTTAGGTGAAAGTAAATAAAGACGGAGAGATAGCTGATCACACTTAAAGGTAAAAAATTTAGTTGCTATCCCATGTTGTTTTTCCTTTGCACCCGGAACTACGAAAGATGAAGTTTAGTGCTTCGAACAATTTGAAAGCGCATAGACAGAAGCAAACACTCATTTGACTCTAATCCACTTAATAACGGGAGCAATTAATAGTATTAACTAAAGACAGAAGTAATGAGAATTTCAAACGCTTTTGGAAAGTCTTCATACTGTCACTAGTTTACAAATTCCGCATTGAGCTCCGATTGACCAAGTCGCAACTCTTCAGCGCAATCTACTCATCACTTATTCCAAGCGAAAATACAGGAGAAATTTAGCAAAAGCTTGCGCTCTCCTTAGACCTATACGGCGATTCGAATTATGGAAATGCAATTGAATGCAGATGAGCGGTAACCTCCGAACAAACCAAACTCTAACTGAGCAAAAGCTATTCAAATGCGTGTTGGCATCAGGAATTTTCTTACTAATTTTGCGAAAGAGAACGCTAAATACCCTAATCGGTTACAAACCCATAATTATATCTCAGTGAATGCTTGCCTGCTTTTGATGTAGATGATAGCGCATCGGAGTTAAATTGAATCAAATTGACATACTCCGGTTATTTCTCTTTTTATAAGTTGAAATTCCTCTACTTCCTGTATTGTAATGTTAAACAGCTAATGTGATTGTGGCTTTTCGCTATTTAAAGGAACTGGACTGAAGAAAAAATAGATGCTGGGGAAACAAAATCGGGACCAAACGATAGTGATCAGAAGTTGGTCCTACCCCTGCCGAATCAACCACCAACACGAACAGGTAACAAAGGCTACTCTTTTAACGCCTTTATAAATCACAACTTCCCATCATTTGCCTACAATATTTTAGTATTAAAACCTAAAAAGCCAACTTTTACTTTAGCAGACTTTTTTTCTCCTCTCTCCTGCCCCCATCTTATCTTTGATGTATGCGAAGGTGCTATAGCGTTGGTGACGTTTCCGTCTCCCATAAAGCTGCGCCGGTAACAAAAATAGAACGGCGTTAATTTTTTTCCTTCTTTTAAAAATATTAAACATTGATCAAAGACTGTATCCGATAAGCTTGAATAATTATGTCCCAGCCCTTTCAAATCCTGCCAAGACCACATCTCAGCTTGCCTCGAAATGCGCCCGACGCTTGAAATATTAAAGATACCCAAAGGCACGTATCCACAGAAGTTTTAGCGAAATTTGGCACGCATTATTAAGCAAAAGGACCGATATTTTAGATTACCTATGGAGACAAGGCTTTTCTTGAAAGTGGTTAATATGGGGTGCTATAACGTGGTCGTTTAGCGGTATAGTTAACATTTGATTTCTCTTCCTCCATCAACTACAAGAAAGACGGAACTTTTTGCGCCTGATTGATGTTATTTGCATTTCACATCACCCTTGCTTAGCCGACTAGGTAGAAGATAGAAAACAACTATTAGATGAGAGTGTTTAGACCCACAGCGATTGTTTATACTCATCAGGAAGATCACCAACATCTGACATGTGCTACAAGCAGGAATTCAAAACTCCCCTTTGTCGTGAAAACCTGTAGGAACTTTTCACACCTTACGTTCAGTCATCCTTTACATTAAGGCTACTTTTTTTCATTACGTTGAAATGCAAGCAGTTACCGAGAGTCGCCGAGTTACAGCCTCAAACAGATCGTTAGGGCTTCTGGGACAATCTAATCTGTTTTAATTACGGTAGCACCCATAATCCATCTTACTGAATGACATTCTCCGGGTAAAAAGGAGTTTACTCAATGTAGAGGCTTAGACTTAAGCAGCTCTTCCGTTCTAATTATACCCTCACTTTTGGTTTGTAAATTAAAGCTGCTGAAAAGAAGAAAAGTGAATGAATTATTTATTTCGGAGGATTTGTAGAAGCAACTCGTGAATATTAGGACCGCTGCATTTTCACAGACCTGTTCGCACCCAGTAAGGGAGATACACGTCCAACTCTTTTGCAATCAGTGTAACAACATTATTGTCAAGATATTTTATTCACTGAGAGACTCACCCCTTTACCCTAATTTGCTCAATTTCTAAGCACAAAAGCCATGGCGATCCTTTAGAGCCCTCATCTATTTCAGGCATAATTTGACAATGATGTTGGAAACTTTTGCACCATTAGGCAATCTCTTTTAGTCCACATTAAGAGGTTGCACGCGAGGCGTATAAGCTCCACCTCACAAGCGGGTCAGAATTCTATGGACCAGACCTATCCACCGCCGCCTCAAGCGCCACAGATCACGAAACATCACCCGACAGCGCCCTTACGGATTACCCCAGAGATTGGAGACTGGAAAAGAGAGGTGGAGAGGGAGACAGGGCGATCTCATGAGCAAATTGACGCCCCCAACCCTTTGCCTGTGTCTACCACCACTACTGTCGCCTCTGCCATACCCCCTTTCTCGGTTAGAGAACCGGTGGAAAAACAAGTGCGCAGTTGGTTAGAGAGCACCTCGGACGAGTATGACATACTTCTCAAACGGTAAGTCTCCTATCTCTTCATCTTCACTTGATCCATCAGGTGAAAAATCCCACTACTGGCTCTAGATAACTTGCCTTAAAAGGAACACAATAAGTGCGATGGCCAGGACATTTATGATCATAAAAGTGTTATATTAATTATCAGTGAAGCCTACAATTTAGCACTTTTGGCTGCAGGAGCGAGACTTTGTTTCAAAAGAATAAATATAGCACATTTTCATGGATCTAGAGAGTAGTACTACTAAAAACGCCTTTTTATGATTCCGCTATATTTCAACTCATGCCTTTTTGTGTGACAAAAGAGCCTTTTTTGTGCTTTCCGAAAATTGGATGCCGATTAGTTGTGTATTTAAATATGAGTAAAATAGTTGAAATAAATGTACTTCTTTGCTCTTCATTCCACACAGAACTGGTCAACAATATTAGCCTTTTCCTGCAATGCATGAATGAGTTTATACTGTACAGGCACCCATTTCATAATGCCAATGGAAAGGAATTTAGAAAGTGAAAATAGCAGAACTTTTCGTTTTGCTACTGTAGCAAAGGCAGGTGAAATCAGTATTTAGAAGCTTAGCCATAGCGTGTGTGTTTAGATCTCACAAGTAGGATTTCGGCCCACGAACCTGGTGCATTTCAACGCCCTGGCTTAGTCCCCTTCCATTAGGCATCCGGCCACAGGCGCCTCCGTAGGCGGTGGCCAACTGAGTGCTCAGTCGCTATGTCGCCAAAACAATACAATGGGACAGGACCAATTTAGTAATGAAGCCTACATGTTGTGAAGCATTATTAATGTTTTTATGCGTGAATTAGGGAATGGATTGTGCTTGGGTGCAGGACATTTCGGGACTCTCTGAAGACTCCAGGGTATTAAAGCAGATGCGACATCAGAGTCGGGAGTTCACCTATAAATGTCTAAAGTCTGGGAATGTACAAATTGAAATACTTTTAAATGGGACAGAGAAACCTAGAAAATTTTTACTAAACAGTATAGAGAATAATTTAATTGCGATAATTTTATGCATTTTCGGTCGCATATTAAAAGGCAGCATGGATTTTATAAGTTCAAATTCACTTGCAGGCATGTTTTACTTTCAAGTTAACTTCATGTTGTTGTTTGCATCCAACTTTGACATCACAGACACAAGATACGCGATCTTTAAAGTTCGTTTACACGAAATTCAAACAATACGAAAGCCTTTTCGTATGAAATGTTGTATTGTTAAAGGACTTTGGAAAACAAACCACTAAAACCATATTTTCCCATTCCTTTACATCTTCTTGGCCTTCCCAAAATGCTAACTTGTAGTCTTCTTATTTTAGAAGGTACCCTAGTTTACATTTTCTTTGCTTTTTGAGTGGCTCTTTGTGATGTCAAGCCCATCAACCGTCGCCGAAATGAGAATTTTTAATCGCGATGGAAACGTCATACAATTGTGCCGTTAAATGATGCAAAAAGAGCAGAAGAAGTTTATAGTCCAGGAAATGATTATTCTAAGCTACCAAGTTCATGTAGTTTTCTTCGGCTTGGATTTCTGAGAGTTACGCTCCTCCATGTCGGAAGGACTTATTTGCCATCCCAATTTGGCCTCTTAAATGGTTACACCAGAAAGTAGACTTTGATTATTTTTTTCTTTACTTGGATCTCACAGCGCTTATTTTGTAATCAAAACCAGCAGCACAGCTTGTTCGTGACTTTTTTCTGCGAACACAAAATTTTTTCCCTGGCTAAGCAATTCCATAAGCCGGAAAATCCTCAAGCCTACTTCAACATTAAATTGCTACAAAAGTTGAATTAACAAATGTACGCCGAGTAGTGTGTGTATGCCTTTAAATATTCTCACAAGGGTTCGTTAATCCGAGGCTTGGTAGCTTGGAATCCGTTTTAGCGACCAAATTTGTTGAAAGCATCTTGAAAGAGATACTGGAAGGTTAGGATGACCAGGGTTTAGATTCTCAGCACCGTCAATGCCCAGGATAGATGATTCTATCTTGAATTAGCAAAATATCAACAAGGCCACCAGTTTAAGAGCCGATCTACTTTTATTAATTTCATCCGATGACTACATTTGTTTACTGACTGGCGGGCGAAGGATTCGTCCTTGTGAAACTGCAATTTTCAAGACATCGAAAACTTGGTTTTATTAGGAAATTTTTATATTGGAAGAAATAGGTTTGTAATGAAACAGGCTGTAAAAAAGATAATCTTTAAAGTACAGAATAATGAATTAATTGGGAAACAGGAAGAAGTTTATTGACTCTTGGTCCGTATTCCACTGATATGATTGTATCGCATGTTGGACATTAATCGGACCTACTTTTCGACGTTTCCGCATGACCTCAACTGCACAGTGCGGTCGTTCTCCCGTTACCCTCAACACTTCGGTTTGGAATGCGACTGAAATGATTGCCGGCTCCATTTATGGTAGGTAGCAAAGTGACACGCATTACCGACAACAGACGAAATAGTCGCTTCAATTTTTAAGGTCCCAACTTCTGTTTACTTTACAAATCTCTTGGAAGTGCGAAATAGGTTCACCGTCTTGAAAATAACCTCAATTTTTATCATGTGCTAAATTATGAGCACAGGAGACGGTTAAAATGGCTAAAAGCCTAGTGGGATAGAAAAGTTGGACATGTGGGGGAATTAGGCGGGGGATTTCGCTCAACGGAAAATGTATTTTACAAGATTTTCATTCCAGCATGAGAGACAACTTTTTCGTCAGTGGGCATAACCAATTTGCTCTTAAATTTATTAAGATAAATTACTAGAAATTGTATTGACGTGAAAGCCCCAAAGTATATTACCTCCTGTTACCAACTGGCGAAAATTCACCAGGCCTTACATTACAGCATGGTACAGGATTATTTTGTTACTTCCCATTCCAATTTGTTGGAAAAATGTCTTGCATTTTTTTGAAAACCGATGGTTAAGTCTTCTAGTTGCATAGCTGCCTGTGTTTTAAACCGGATGCGCCGTAAACTTGCAAAAAAAGTCTTTGCCTCCTGAATCCAGGAACATAGATGTATCACATTAGGAAGGAAACTTGGGTCACTTGTAACCAGGACTTGCTGGTTTGTTTGGCATGTGCATGGAATGCTCTACTCACCTTCACCTTACTTGGTTACCTTGGTCAGTTAAACTCTGACCCGCTTCGAATTTGCCCTTGAATAACACTGGGACTTTGTCAGTTGGCTAGCTGAAGTGTAACTCGCCCAACAGCGGCCCGTATGCTTATATAGATCAGCGTTAGTTGCGTGTGGTACTGGCAATACAGAAAACGGACTCGGACTAGGGCGGGTCAACTTGACGCTGAGACTCTACAGCTCTGAAATAACTAAAAGCTATTTCTCACGCTCCATGTCTAACCCTGAGACGGAACTGTGAAGGGGAGCTATAGCCAACTCAAAGTGACCCCAATTATTTGTCATGGCCACAACTCTTGAATGAAGTGAACTGATGCGCATTGCGTTTTTAATGGCCAAGAATGCAGCAAACATGGGGTGTAAATGCATACATTAAAAGCTCTACCTTTCGGTGCCTGCAAAACAGACGCTCGCGATGTGTGGAGTCATGAATAAGTCAAGGGAAATGTACCTAATTTTGGATTAACCCATGAAAATGGACCTAATATGTTGCATATGCGAGTAAAACATCTTTATCTAGGAATTCTCACCTTCGGAAATCTTAGCACGGTAAAAAGTTAGTGGGATTTTAAATATGAACAACTTGAAGAGAATGGAGGAACATAGTTCCCCATTCTTGCGGGAGAATAAAGAAAGTTATTTGAAATCCGAGTTTTAATTTAACCTGATCCACTTTCCTTCAGCACTCTGTGTTTGTACTCTCAGACCCGGTATCCTAAAGCTGGATAATTCATACGTGTTGAATCACTATTGAAAGTGGCTCTTTAGGCTGTGGATAGGGTCCTGACCTCAGCAAATGACCAAATATGCGCGATATCATTACGATACCAAATAGAACTTCATTAAGCATATAAATTAGATAGACTGGTGAACAGACAAAGGAATAGGCAAGACTTGGCACTTTTATTGCATACACGGACAATCCCATTTTGTATGGAGCACTTTCCATTATCCATTCTGTGAATTTTTGGGGTCGCTTTTAAAAAAACTACAGTAGAAAATTAATCTCAATGGTGCCATTGCTCTTTGAAAGTTAGATCAAAGGCATGATAGAGAGTTTCCACCAAATATTTGAGCTAATCCCTCCCCAGATATATATATTTGCACATTTTTGACTCGGAGGCACCATACAACCATCATTTTGCATTAACCTGTCTCATAAGTATACACATCCCCGATTTGGAAGGATAATTTGCTGCCATCAATCTAGATAATCGTCAACAGAGAACAGAGTAGCTAAAACAGGCGTGTGCTTAAAAACTTTTTATTGCTACTGTTAGAGGGGCTCACTCGTAGCACATTGGCAAGCTGTGCCTCGGGCAGATCATATCATTGTGTAAGTCTGGCGTCGACACCAGCAGAAATATATTTTTTCCCCTGTATAGCTGTCACCTAGTATCGAACTGTAAACAGAATTCCTTTCTTATTTGGCATGCCATGTTTGAAGAACGTAAGAGGCGATAAGCTTGTCTACGGTGATGTCGGTGGAAAGCGGACACAGTCGAGTAGAGCAAGGAACGAAAAGTTTCACACCTTGATGCCACCAGTTGCCAAATCATTTTACCCAACACTGTGAGGCAAAGCAGTATAAAACTAATCTAAATACACTGTCATTGTTTCCCTTTTTAAATAATTTGATGAGGTCCAATTGCACTTTAAGTGAGTTAATTCCATGGAGACCATGAGAGTACGGTTTGTACAAAGTGTACTGTAAAGTAGTTGGACAATAAGTGGCACAATAAATTCATGTTTGACAAGCAAGTATAGTTAAAGAGAGGTAAGAGGCGTTTAAATGGGTCTATTTCTGATAAAACTACAAAGCTGCCCACGGTTCAGCTCATAATATGCCCCTAAGATGAAGAAGGCCTGCGTTTGTACGGGTGCTAGTAATACAATGCGATTGAGGTACTATTCAGTGCGTAAATTTAAGTTGCATAAAGTGCGGTCTTATTCGTTTCTTTTCGGTAAATTTAAGCAGCAGCGGTTTTCTGGAGTGCTCAATTCAGGCGTAATCCCATAATCCGCAATTTGGCATGAGAGAGATAGCTCTAGATCCGCAATCACTCCAACCTGTTCTGCAATCCCCACCCCATTTCTTTTTTACCACTATTTATAATCATTTACTAATGTCTCGGAAATTTCTCACGATTTCAACCATCCTTACATACAAAGTAGCGAGATTTAGGGTATGCTGACTGCAGTACCAGGATGTACACACATGCACGACACATTCGATAAGTCCCCTGAGCCCTCTCTTCATTGTTAAGGCGCATTAATCATGATTTCAGTATCTCTCTGGGTAATATCTCGCCATATTCCTCGAGACATGATCCACTTATGGGACTCAGACAGCCTCCATTCTACCGTAGCTTGAATACGGCAGCCCGGCTCCCTACTCTGGGGGATATGGGGTGCCCAGCGAACTCGGGTGTTGCATAAACTTACCATCTTTTGGGATCTAATGCAGGACAAATATTTCAATCCCATATGTCTCTTAAAAAGTTGACTTTTGGGCAACCAAAATTGACTTCGCCTCACCCAGTAATAATTGCGATCCAAAGTAAGAAGGGGGTGCATACGTTGCACCGGTCACAATTGTTAATCATAGTATGAAAGCTGTAATACTTCTCTGTCCTCAGTGGGCTAAGAACCAAAAATAGCCTAACTGACGTCGTATACAGGCAAAGAAATCTCCTTCAAGTCGCCTTAAAAGCCGACGTCACAACTACTTTCCCTATTCGTGAACAATGGCAACTAAATAGACTTAGTACAATTTATTTGGTGCTGTTATTCAGTATGATCGCAATCACTAGTGCTATCAAGTATGTAGTTCGAGTTACTTCAAATGACTTTTAAATTAGTACTTCATCTTCAAGTTAATTACTTCCTACAAGCAAGCAAAGTGGGATGCTCTTCATCCAGTTTCATTGAGTAAGCGAACCTCTACCGCGTTTAATCACAAATAACCACGCCGATTGTTCAAACTCCCGACTTTTGCGGCCATCAGTATTTCGGGAGCTTTAGGTTTCCTTCGTCTCATCAGTGAGGTAAAAAATCCTCAAATGTACTCTGCCGTCTAGCGCAAGTGTGATGTCCCTTTTTGTTTTTCCTCAAGCTTGCTACTGCCTCTAGTTTACTGACTCCACGTCTAAAATGATTACTTAACAGTTAATTGGTAAAAACCGTCTGACTGCTAAGTATGTCACCTTACTCTCCCTTCCTTTTACCCACTAGAGCGAGGCGCAATTTAGTACTAAATGCACTTTTGTCTTTCCCTGTGCTTTATCCAAGTCGTTAAATATCAAGACAATGATGTCTCTGTAGTTTTGTTACAACTAGCCATGTATCTAGACAAAATAGCTCTGGATTAGGTCCACTTTTATCAACATGTGTGATATCGGGACACTTTACTAATAGGACAGCGTTGTAACAGTCTGCGAGAGGGGCAGCGGTACTTGCGCGATCTAAAAGGCCCTACAAAGGAAGATATTAAGAAGTTGTAAATGTGACAACCCAAGACTTCCCTGAAGATTAAAGGGCACATAATGCTCAGGCAGAATACATATATGTAAATATTCGGTATACGGAAGTGCTTGAGGCTACTGGCATGGTTCGGAAGCCAACCCACCCAGCGAAGGCACAATAGCGAAGGGATTAAGTGACCTATTTATCGAAACCGAGAATTCAACAAACAATTAAGGCGTTACATAGCACTTCTTCCCTTTTAATTGTCGCAATCGGCGCTCTCTTTAGTCGGCTTTTCCTGTCAGCCATCGAAACGCAATCAGTGTTGTGGGAAAACACGAGCCACTTAAGTCAGTCGTCGGATTTCCACGCAATTGAGCAGATACTTAACCGAAGCATCACTAATCCCTCTTGGCAATTCTACTAGACCTAAGGTTTCTTTCGATATATAAACTGGATTTGGGGAATGTACTGGCCACCATGTGTCTTTAACCAGTCGTGGGGACATTGGCCTACATGTAGAGTCGTGCCTCAAGCGAGGGGAGTAGGGCTTCTCTTCTAGTCCTCCTTGTCTTCTTGTTCTCACTTCAGTGCCGCTTAGCTTTTTCAATCTGGCTGGTGGAGAGGTGGAGGTATCGTGAGCTCACTTTATTGACATCTTCATACGGGCACCGTAGACAGCCCCGTGGTGAAACTTTTCCAGATGGTTTACGGCTAGTGTTGCTTGAGCTGTTAATAGCTTTCCGGCGGATCACAGGACTAGGGTAGCTGCCAAAGATAGACGGCATTCACAGCCCTTCTATCGTTAGGAGTCGTCATCGATTCTACCATTCGGAGCGTATGCGCTTCTTTCTTTACAATAACGTTTATGACCCAGCAGTAGAAATAGGATAGATGTCCTTAGGGTCGGGTTTCCTTCCCGCTGCCACCAATGTAGCTCCTCGAGGAGGAGTCGTAACATTCGATTAGAATATGTATACATACCATACAGTAGGACTAGGGCTACTGGTATGGCCCAAAGACCAGCCTATTCGGCTAAGGTACAGTGGCGGAGAACCTAAGAGGCCCTTGAGCAAAATCGCGTGCTAAGCAAACAACGACCGCCTTACACAAACAATAGCCTGGCGGAACCGTGGTTATGCTTAACTGGTTCAAACACATACGGATTGGTGGTTTCGATGGCAGCTAAACTTGGATTCCGAGAGGTGGATATGGCTTAAGTTACACGATTAGCCCTTTTGTGGTTTTGATAGAATTTTGTGTCCTTTCATTTGGTGGAGAATTCAATAGATTACAGTTGCCATCTTTTAGAGAAAGCCATTGTTTGTAAGCCTAAGTTACATAGGCAACGATTCTTCCGACTATAGCTACTAAATCAGGCCACAAATGGACTTAGTTTTGGTGAATGAGGTAATGACTTTTTGAATTGGACTTGCGATGGTTGGTAAAAAACCCCTCAGTTCTGACTTTTTGGCTTTAATTTGATCGCCTATCCACTGGGATTTGCAACTCCTACGTAGCATTTGATATGTTGAGAACAAAGTGACGCCAT